TGCTAATGCGGCTCAAGTGGTTGGGTTCCCACCACCCACATGGGAGAACTGGAATAAAACTCCCAGTTTCTGGCTTCAGTCTCAGCCCAAGGCAGACCACTGCAAATAAACACCACCCCCCAAACTCCCTTTGAGCCAAGATCTGAATGACAAGGGCCATGCATTCCAGACTGAGAGAAGAGAACTGAAGGTGGAAATGTCCTTTCAGCCTTCAGTGCACGGAAGATTCAGGTCACCAGGCCCGAAGGCAGAGGGCAGGGTTTGGATTTTCTCCTAAGGGTGGGACATTTTAGGCAGTGACATGACCTGATTTCCTCATCTGTAAAATGGGGGAAATAAATGGTAAGTACTTTGTAAAATTTTTGTGAGGATGAGAGAGAATGTAAATAAGCTGCCTGACATGCTACAAGTACTGGATACAGGAACACCTTTAATTCAGTAAGCCTTCACGGAACACCTACCAAGCACTCCCAAAGGCTCAAATGGCATAGTCTCCACCCTCACGTCCACCTGAGGAGTCAGCATATTTACATGCATCCATTTCTTTTTATTTTATTTTTTTTTAAAGATTCATTTATTGTTTTGAAAGGCAGAGTTAGAGAGAGAGAGAAAGCAAGGTCTTCCATCCGCTGGTTCACTTCCTAATTGGCCACAAGAGCCAGAGCTGTGCCGATCCAAAGCCAGGAACCAGGAGCTTCCTCCAGGTCTCCACGTGGGGGCAGGGGCCCAAGGACTTGGACCAGCTTCTACTGCTTTCCCAGGCCATAGCAGAGAGCTAGATCAGAAGTGGAGCAGCTGGGACTTGAACTGGCACCCTTATGGGATGTCGGCACTGCAGGTGGCGGCTCCACTCGCTATGCTACAGCAACGGCTGACATGCACCCATTTCTAAAACATCTTGTTTCCTTGAAATTTGGTCAGTTCTCTAATACATATCTGATTCTTTAATAATGTACATCTTTCTGCAATAGCAATTGAAGCTCTAAGCTTAAGACCTCTGAGTCAAAAAAAATTTTTTAAAAGATTTATTATTTAAAAGGCACAGTGATAAAGAGACATTCCATCCACTAGTTCACTCCTCAAATGGCTACAAGAGCCAGGGCTGGGCCAAGGCAAACTTAGGGGTAAGAGCTCCCTCCTGGAGGCTGGCACGGTGGTGCTGTGAGTTAAGACGCTGCCTGCAATGTCAGAGTCCCACAAGTGCACTCCACTTCCTGGCTGCTCCACTTCAGATCTAGTTCTCTGCTACTGTGCCTGGGAAAGCTGCACAAGACTGTCAAAGTACTGGGGCACCTGCCACACACATGGGAGACCTGGGTGGAGTTCCTGGCTCCTGGCTTCAGCCTGGCTCATCCCCAGCTGCTTTGGCTATTTGGGAGTGAATCGGTCCATGAAGATCTCTCTCCCTCTGTAACTCTGGCTTTAAAATAAATAAATAAATCTTTATTAAAAAAAAAAAAAAGGAGAGGAGAGGAGAGGAGATGAGAGCAGGAGAGGAGAGGAGAGGAGAGGAGAGCAGGAGAGGAGAGGAGAGGAGAGGAGAGGAGAGTCCAATCTGGCCTCCTACATGGGAGGCAGTGGCCCAAGCACTTCAGCCACCATCCAGTCTTCCCAGGCACTTCAGCAGGAACCTGGATGGGAAACAGAGCAGCTGCGGCTGGAACCGGTGCTGTGATACAGCATGTTGGTGTCTTCAGCGGCAGCTTAACCCACTGTGCAACAATACTGGCCCCTCTGGGATTAATGTTAGCTCCACCACTTACTGTCAAATTTGTCTCAACAGATACTTACGTAGGTTAACGTGTGTACAAGGGCTTAACCTGTCTGGCAGTGGCATTTCACAACTGTTCTCTGTAGGAGCCTGCCTATCCACTGGAGACCCCCATGCCTGTGGCAGTCACTACTCCCGTTTTCCACTTTACAGTACTTATCACCCCCTTATATGTATGCTAGTCCTTTTGCTTATTGTCTCTCCTCCACTTGAAGATTTGTTCCATGAGGACAGAGCTCTTGTCTGTTTTATTGGACTGCTAATCCTCAGCACCTAATAAATTGTTGACTTAAATGAACAAAAACAATAGCTACTATAATTACTATTGTTATTTGAGCCTAAGAGTAGCACTGGACACATACTATAAAAAGGCTAGGTTTTCAGGCAACCACAACTATTGTGTATTGCAATTTAAAAAAAAAAATCACTTTTTAAAACAACCATTACCAAGCTTAATTGCCATTTGTAACTTCTCTGGCCTTGGGCTGTTTCAATAGTCAATTAGCTCTATGGTTATTCTGCCTGGCACAGAACAGACCTAAGGAGTCTGCTTTTTTTTTTTTTTTTTTTTTTTTTTTAATGAAGTTAAACCTAGTGTTACTAACTATGGCATCCACGTCTTCCTGCAAGGCTACCTGGACACGGAAGATACTAGTCATCCAACTTACCTGACGTTTAGGAAATAGAAAAAAAAACGAGGAAAAGCTATGCAAACCCTGGACTACACATGAGCCACTCCACCAGCCGAACTTTTCTCTAAAGAAACAATGACTGGATCATAGGTTCAGTTCTTCCCTGTAGCCTGAAAAGTTCCTAAGGACATCTGCATCACCTGGAACCTTCTCAAAACTGCAAATAGGCAGGTCCCACTAAACCCCACCGGGGGAGAGGGCACGCATTAAGTTGTGTGGTTTTTTTTTTTTTTTAATTTTTTTTTTTTTTGACAGAGTGGACAGTGAGAGAGAGACAGAGAGAAAGGTCTTCCTTTACCATTGGTTCACCCTCCAGTGGCTGCCGCGGCGGGCGCACCGCGGTGCGGCCAAGGCCATTGTGGGGTGAACCAACGGTAAAGAAAGACCTTTCTCTCTGTCTCTCTCTCACTGTCCACTTTGCCTGTCAAAAATAAAATAAAATAAATTAAAAAAAAAAAAAACAAAACAGAATTCTCCAGGGCCAGTGTTGTGGCAAGGCTGGTTAAGCCTCAGCCTGCAACACCCGCATCCCACATGGGCACCGGTGTGAGTCCCAGCTGCTCCACTTCTGATCCAGCTCCCTGCTAACGTGCCTGGGAAGGCAGCAGACGATGGCCCAAATGCTTGGGCCCTGCGCACACGGGGAGACCCGGCTGAGCTTCCAGGCTCCTGGCGGTCTGCAGCCATTGGGGGGAGTGACCCAGGGGATGGAAGACCTTTCTCTTTCAAATAAGTAAACTTTAAAAAACAGCAGCAGCTGTCGCTGAGGCCGGAAGCAGCCAGCTCGGGGCAGAGCCAGAGCGCCAGTTCTCGCCCGTGTGCCTGGCCTGCTGCGCTCTCCCCAGCCCTCCGCCCTCTTCTTACCCGCTAGGTTGTTGTAGCAGTCTGTCTGCGTGGTGTGCAGGAGGCTTTCCTGCTCGGGGGTGAGAGCCGGGCCCTGAGGCCCCAGACTGGGTATTGGGGAGGGCAGGCTGGGGTCCAGGCCCCGCAGCTGAAGCAGAGCTCGGTGGTACCGGCTCACGGCGTCGCGGTACCGCCCCTCCCGGTACCGCTGGTTCCCCTCTTCTTTATACAGCTGGGCCTCCTGCAGGCGCTTCTCCATCGCTCTGCCGCCCACGGCGCTTGCGGGGCCTGCGACAGGGCAACGGAGCGCTGGGGTCGGGGGCTGCCTGACTGGCTCGGGTGGGCTTCCCCGGGGAGGGGGGCTTGGCGTGTTTCTGTACAGCCTCCACCTGTGCTCCCTGCAGCAGTTTTCAGTCTCCAACCGTTCACGCAGGCGGTCAGGAGGAGGACGTGGGGACGGCCACGGCCGAAGCCTAGGAGGTTACTGCGGGGTGAGGAGACCCCGGGGTGGGGGGGAAGGCCCTACTAAGGCACCGTGGCAGGCGTGCGAGCGCCCAGCCTCCGCCACCGCCCCTCTGTCGGACGCACTCCCTCCCCCGCGACCTGGAAGTACAAGGGAGTAGGCGGGGACAATTGCTACAAGAAATCCGCGGGGCTGGCCCGCACGCACGCCCGCCCGCTTTATTTGTCCTCATTTAACAAGCTTTGGTTGGTAATTGTGCTGCGAGCCGCGAGGTCCGAGAGCCCCAGCACTCAGCCCGCACGGAGGGGTCCGCAGCAGCGCACCCCACGCAAGCCCACCGACCTAGGCCGCCGACACCCCGGCCTTTGCAGACGCCCGAGGCCGGAAGTCCCTCCCCCAGCTTCCGCTTTCCAGCCGGGAGCACGGAAAGGAAAGGGTCAGAGCTCCCGGCCGTTTGGTGTCTAAAGGGTCGCGCGCAATCCGCCAAAGCGTCCAATCAGAAGCGGCTCCGGAAAAGTAATCCCGCAGAAACGACTCCGCCTCCCCAGCAGTTCGACGCGGAAAAAAAAAATCCCCCCAACAGCGTTCGCCAATTGGAAAATTCCGCACGGTCACAGGTGACCAATCATAACGGCAGGAGCCGATTCAAGCAGGCCAATGAGAGGGGGCGGAAGGCGAAGCTAGGCCTCCTGTTGCTGGGTAGAAATCGAGGCGTTGAGCGACTAGGAGGGCCGAGGGCTACGGTTATTTCTCGGTCCTGGAGGGTCCTCTCGCGTACTCGCTAGAGAAACAATTGCGAGTAGGCTTTCCTGTTGCAACAGTTTCTCTTCTGGCTTAGCTGCTGCAGGCCCCGCAGGGGAACGGGGTGGTGAGCAAGCCCTAAAGGGCCGCAGCAATAGTGAGACGCGAGTCTGGGTGGTGAGAGGGCGGGCGGGCGGGCGGCTGCGCAGGACCCCCGCTGGAAGTACGGAAAGGCAGGCGCGCACACGCTTCCGTGCTACGAGGGCACTTGAGCCGCCGCCAGCCCTGCCCGTCTCCGGCTCCGCTGCGGCTGCGCGGTAAAACCTCCGGCGGCGATTGGCCCAGCGGTAAGAGGGGGCGGGCGGAAGGGGCGGGACTCCGTCGTCCTCGGCGCGCGCGCCCGCCGGCGGTAGGGGACTAGGGGCTGGGAGGCAGGCCGCTCCCCGTTGCGTTGTTTTGGGCTCGTGGGAGGCGAGGCGGGGGAGGGGAGGAGGAAGGCGACACCAACTACGCAGCGGGGACCGCGCGCGGCCTGCGCTGTCTGCGTGCGTGCGTGCGCTCGCGCGGGCTCAGGGCTGGCGCGTGAGGCGGAGGCGGGCGGCGGCGGCGGCGCCTGCGCGGTCGGGCTCGGTCGACGGTTCGCAGGGGAGGAGGCGGCGGGAGGCGGAGGAGGCGGCGGCGGCGATGGAGGTGAAGCGGCTGAAAGTGACCGAGCTGCGGTCGGAGCTGCAGCGGCGGGGCCTGGACTCGCGCGGCCTCAAGGTGGATCTGGCGCAGCGGCTGCAGGAGGCGCTGGACGCCGAGATGCTCGAGGACGAGGCCGGCGGCGGCGGGGCCGGGCCCGGCGGGGCCTGCAAGGCGGAGCCTCGGCCTGTGGCCGCGTCGGGCGGCGGCCCGGGCGGGGACGAGGAGGAGGACGAGGAGGAGGAGGAGGAGGACGAGGAGGCGCTGCTTGAGGACGAGGACGAGGAGCCACCCCCTGCTCAGGCCGCGGGCCAGGCCGCGCAGCCGCCGCCAGAGCCTCCGGAGGCGGCAGCCATGGAGGCCGAGGCCGGGGCCGGGGCTGAGCCCGAGCCCGCGGCCCAGCCCGAAGCCGAGGCCGAGGCCGAGCCCGATGCTCCCGAAAAGCCCGCGGAGGCCACGGCCGGGTCAGGTGGGGTAAACGGTGGCGAAGAGCCGGGCGCCGGCAAAGGGGAGGAAGACGAGCCCGAGGAGCGGAGCGGAGACGAGACGCCGGGATCCGAGGCGCCGGGTGACAAGGCCGCAGAAGAACAGGGTGAGGAGCTGGCGGCGGAGCCGGGCTCCAGGCTGCCGGGGGCGCCCCGATCCGGCACCCGTGCTGCGCCGCGGGGTTTGATCCCTTGTTTCCACTTGCCTGGTCGCGCAAGCTGCCGTTCGGTATTTGATGGGACTCCCCGGGGCAGGTGGCTTTCATCCTCTGCTGCCTTTCTGGGAAGCGCGGCCGCCTCTGGTGGCCGTGTTCTTGGCGGGAGGGAGGTTGTCCGCCCGGCTTGGTTCCTGGGAGGTGGTGGATGGAAGTGAGTGGTTTCGCATGCTGACTGCTCGCGTGCTACCTGTGGAGCACCCTCCCGCCTGCTAGTCATCGCCTCCCCTTTGTTTTGTGTTTCGTTTGAAGCTGAGAGGGTGCTGAGGAGTTGGGAATTACACAGCCACACCGAAAGTTAGAGCTTTAGGTCATTGGGCTACCTGACGGCTTTTTCGGCATAAAAACATGAAGCAATAAACTGAACCCGTCAGAGTCCGCTCTGTCAAAACCCATTACTAAAGCTTGTAGGTTTCCGGAGAACTGGAAATCTAGCCTTGGTCCTGCTCCAGAAGTAAGGGGGCAGCCTCTGGTGCGAGTGTTGGGTTTAATAGTTAACTAGTGAAGAAAGTTTTAATCTGGCGCATTTAAAACAAGTTAACTTGGTTTGGGCTTGTACTGCTCCTGTATTCTCAGGATTACATTTTAATCTTTCCACTAAGTCCATGGATGGGCATATTTGTAGATTTGCTGTATACTCGTACGAGCCTACATGTTGGGCTCCTGACTTCCTGAATTGAAAGGATTGAGATCCTGGTGGATGCATTGGGTAACCTTGTGGAAGAAAATGTGTGGAACTGCCCCAGGGAGCTGGTGACCTTTCTCTTTTCTCTGGAAGTGATTGGATGGTTGGAGTTGATCATAACAATACCTGTCAGAGTAGGGAGGAAATCTCCAGCTACTTCCCAGTCTTACTATAAATTGGATTGCTTTCATTCTTTTTATAGTACAAGTTTTGGGACACTATTAGTTAAAGTGACATAATTGGAAGTGTTTTACAATAGTCATAGGCAACTTGCGTATTTTTTTGTCCTATGTCTTAGAACAAAAATCCCATTATATAACCTTTGCTTTAATGTATAATTCAAATAAAAGATATAAAAAACGTTGGGGATAAAGGACTGCTTTAAAGAAGTTATTATTTACAACCTTCTTAGTGTTGCAAAAATATAAAAACCTAAAGAAAAACTCCAAGATTTTTTCTTGTGAACAGTTACTAAATATATGACAACACCTTTCTGCCCCAAATTATGTGCAGTAAAGATGCAGTGTTATTTATGGGTCTCTTGTGACTTAACTGGTTTGTTGCGGTTTTGTAAATCAGTTGTGTATCATGCACTTGAGTCCCTTGGCTGTATAAGTAAAGCATGGATGGCTGTACTCTTTTACATTTCTTTGGCACATAATGTTTGTGTATATTTATGGGGTATGGTAAGATAACTTGATATACATATCCAGTGTTGATGCATATATACAGGCTGTGCATTTTAGTGCAGGATAAACTTAGGAAAAAATTGTGGCTTCTTTACCTTGAAGCTGTAATGGCCTGCCTTAAATCTTTGTACAATTTCAATCTGACAAAGATTGAAATTAAGTTAACCTATGAAGGTTTTTTTTTTTTAATGCCACAACATTCCTGCAAGCTTGACCTGATTTAATCAGGTAAATTTAGAATGCAAAAACTGTCCAATTTTTATCTGCTGCTGACTGTAATTAGCCCGTTCTATCCTCTTACCCCCTCCCATCCCACCCCAATAAAATCCTAGCCAGTGACAGGAAGGTGATCTTGGGAAGTAAAATGTGCTGTGGATGCAGTGGGGCTAATGTGGCTATTTTGATTAGAAAGAAACTCAGGTTTCCCTTTAGTTTCTGTTGGTTCTGAGCTTGTTCTACACTCCAGTATAAAAACTGCTGATTTTCTTTCCCTCCTTTTTGTAGGAGATGAACAAGATAGTGAAAAGTCAAAACCAGCAGGCTCAGATGGTGAGCGGCGGGGGGTAAAGAGACAGCGGGATGAGAAGGATGAACATGGCCGAGCTTACTATGAATTCCGAGAGGAGGCTTACCACAGCCGGTGAGGGAAACAGTCCCTTTTCTTAAAGGGAGTGTCTGCTCTGATTTTGGTATATCTGGTATTGATTGGAGAGTCTGGAAGGAGGGGTGCATAAGCTTTAGATGAAATCTACCACGAAAGCTCCTGTTGCCCTTTCTCATTTGTTGAAAGAAGCTGTCTGCTGGGATTTGATACTCACTGGTAGTTTAAAATGGACATAATGTCATGAAGACACTTTATCAAAGAAGAGGGCTTTCGTTACATTGTGTTTGCTCTTCTTTCCTATGTGTGTAGCTCAAAGTCTCCGCCACCCCCTGAAGAAGAGGCAAAAGATGAGGAGGAGGATCAAACTGTTGTGAACCTGGACACGTGTATGTATAAGGCAGACTGTGGTTTTTTAATCACAAGTGGTGTTGTGGTGAAGTGGTGTTGGAGTTTAAAACTTCAGGACCTGCAAATTCTAGGAGACTTTGTATTCATTGTTGACAGCTGGATATACTTGTGCTACTTCTGTGGTTTCCAAGTTTTGGGTATTATTGTAACCTTATTGCATCTTTCTTAACAGATACCTCGGATCTCCATTTCCAAGTAAGCAAAGACCGCTATGGAGGGCAGCCACTTTTCTCAGAGAAGTTCCCCACCCTTTGGTCTGGGGCAAGGAGTACCTATGGAGTAACAAAGGGAAAAGTCTGCTTTGAGGCCAAGGTAGTAGCTCATTAAGACCATTCATTTACTTTTTTCTTGTTTTTATATATTTATTTGAAAGGCAGAGTTACAGAGAGGCGGGGAGAGGGAGAGAGAGATCTTCCATCCACTGTCACTCCCCAAATGGCCACAGTGACTTGGTTGGGCCAAGCCAAAGCCAGGAGCTTCTTCAGGTCTCCCATATCTCTGAGATACTGGAGCCTTCTGCTGCTGCTTTTTTAGGTATATTAACAGGGAACTGGATTGAAGTAGAGTAGCCGGGACTCAAGCTGGGACCCATATGGGATGCCGGCACTATATGCAGCTACTTGACCTGCTACACCACAAGATCAATTGCTGACCCCAAGATCGTCCTTTTATTATTTTATTCTTTTAAACTATGTGCTGGATTCCTGGTCATCAGTATTTTATTAGTACAGAAAAAGACATCAGAATTCAACAATAACCTTTGTCCCAGGAACCAAGATTGACCCTCACTGGTTTAAGTTCAGTGATGGCTGTTATCCCAGTGTTGAGTTTTGATTGTTGTTGCTTAAAAGTTACATTTTTCTAAGTTAGTTTTTGCTCCCGAGTTGGACAGAGTATTTAAGAGTTCCTTTTCTGACTTGGCCAGGTGACCCAGAATCTCCCAATGAAAGAAGGCTGCACAGAGGTTTCTCTCCTCCGAGTTGGGTGGTCTGTTGATTTTTCCCGTCCACAGCTTGGTAAAAATTATTTTTAATTGCTTTATTAGTGTATGCTACCATATCTTACTTTATGAGAAGTTTGCATTTAATTAATCAATTTGTTAACTATTCTAGGTGAAGATGAATTTTCTTACGGTTTTGATGGACGAGGACTCAAGGCAGAGAATGGACAGTTTGAGGAATTTGGCCAGACTTTTGGGGAAAATGATGTCATTGGCTGCTTTGCTGTAAGTGCTCCTGAGAGTTGTGGGTCCATAGCACGAAGTGGATGGAGGGCAGTAGGAATTCAGTTTTATTTCAAATCAACTGCTATCCACTGTGCATTTTATGTTGTATTGTACAGCAGTCTGAGTAAAATCAAATGATAAAATTGTAGTTTACTCAACCTTCAACCCCATCATCCCATAAGTGCTCTTGTCTTTTGTCATTGTAGAACTTTGAGACTGAGGAAATAGAACTTTCCTTTTCCAAGAATGGAGAAGACCTTGGTGTGGCATTCCGGATCAGCAAGGAGTCCCTGGCAGACCGGGCCCTTCTACCCCATGTCCTCTGCAAAAATTGTGTTGTAGAATTAAACTTTGGTCAGAAGGAGGAGCCTTTCTTCCCACCACCAGCAGAGTTTGTGTTCATCCACGCTGTGCCTGTTGAGGAGCGTGTACGCACTGCAGTCCCTCCCAAGACCATAGAGGAGTGTGAGGTATGCCAAACAGCACATGGGTTTCATGTTTTGGAGTAGTGGATGGGTGTGCTGGTGTGCTCTACTAGGTCTCTTCTCAAAAGAGTTACTGATCGGGGCCAGGGAGAATGTTCTTCCATTGGGCTTTATAAGCATGACTCTTACCTACTTTTCATTTCACTCTGTCCTGCAGGTGATTCTGATGGTGGGACTTCCTGGCTCTGGAAAGACACAATGGGCACTGAAATACGCAAAAGAAAATCCTGAGAAAAGATACAATGTCCTGGGAGCTGAGACTGTGCTCAATCAGATGAGGGTGAGTTGCAATGAGGGGAGTCCATAGTAGCATTTGGTAGTACAAGAAATACCTAGAAGCTATTCTCAGTGAAGAGTTAATCTTTTAAGTGTCTGAAAACAAGGTTCCCTAAATAGAGAAGTGAATTTTTCTCTGTTGAGGAGGGTTTTTTTTTTTTTCTCTGCTGTGCAGATGAAGTCAGATATTCAGGTTGATACTAGAAATGACTGTTGCAGGAAATAAACATTTACAGCTCTGAGGACTAGGAGTGAATTGCTGTGATAGATTTGGCATTTAAAAAGGTGGCAGTGACTCTGGGCTTTAACTTAGTGCATAACTCCTTGTGTTATTCTGTTTTCAAACTCATCAGATGAAGGGGCCCGAGGAGCCAGAAATGGACCCCAAAAGCCGAGATCTTTTAGTTCAGCAAGCTTCCCAGTGCCTTAGTAAGCTGGTCCAGATTGCTTCCCGGACAAAGAGGAACTTCATTCTTGATCAGGTACTGTTCCAACATTCAAATGGAACCTGATTTTATAGAAGGTTAAGAGATAAATTTTAACATCCATTTAATCAAAAAAAAAAAAAATTGCTTAGAGTCAGAGGTTAAGTGCATATGTGGAGAAGAACTGAAAAGGAACAGAATTGGGTCACCTCATTACCATTAGGTTGTATGTTACAGTTGTAACGTCTTTCAAACATTACAGAGGTCCCCCTCATGAGTGTTTTTACCTGAGAGTAGGAGGACCCAGATTATAGAACACGTAGCAGGGGCAATGGAAGGAGAGTTGGAACTTCATTGGATTCTTGGCTCTACCACTTAATAGGTTTGTGATCTTTGGCCAAGTCTTTGAGCCTCTCTGAACCTCTATTTTCCTGATGTGCAAGACAAGATAATACTTATGTAGAGTTTGAAATATTAAAGGCGATCATGTTTATCAGCCACTAATCTGGTGCCCTGATTCTAAAAGTATTATTTTGGTTTAATTTGGTAATTTCTAATTATAAACATTTGTCTTTCCTCCTGTTTCTAGTGTAATGTGTACAATTCTGGCCAACGGCGGAAACTCTTGCTGTTCAAGACCTTCTCGCGAAAAGTGGTGGTGGTTGTCCCTAATGAGGAAGATTGGAAGAAGAGGCTGGAGTTGAGAAAGGAGGTGGAAGGAGATGATGTGCCTGAGTCTATAATGCTGGAGATGAAAGGTGGGCTGAAATTCTACAAGTTCGGAATCTGGTTCCTGGGCAGTGTGCACTAACCAGGGCAGCTCTTTGTGTCTGGAGCAGCTCTCCCCACATAAAGTGTAAATTTGAAGAGCATTTTAATGGGTGTGTGCACTTAGAGATAAATGAGTGAGCAGAGTGAGCCAAGAAGCAGTAACTCCTTGACTTGTTATGGATAAGATACAGAAAAGGAAATCGTGACAGACCACAGGATAGTTAAAACTTAAGGGAGGGGCTCTCTTGAGTGAATAATTCACTAAGCAAGTATTTATGGTGAGTCTTATTTATCTAGCACTGTTGTAGACATATAGGAAGATTGCAGTGTGTGAGATGAAGCTCAGCCTTTGTGGAATTGAGCGAAGAGTCCACAGAAGAAGAGATAACTAACTCATATTAAAATGCTGTGCTTGGGCCGGCGCCGCGGCTCACTAGGCCAATCCTCCGCCTGTGGCACAGGCACACCGGGTTCTAGTCCCAGTCAGGGCGCTGGATTCTGTCTCGGTTGCTCCTCTTCCAGGCCAGCTCTCTGCTGTGGCCTGGTAGTGCAGTGGAGGATGGCCCAAGTGCTTGGGCCCTGCACCCCATGGGAGACCAGGAGAAGCACCTGGCTCCTGCCTTCGGATCAGCGCGGTTCGCCGGCCGTAGCACACCGGCTGCGGCGGCCATTGGAGGGTGAACCAATGGCAAAAAGGAGGACCTTTCTCTTCTGTCTATCTCTCACTGTCCACTCTGCCTGTCAGAAAAAAAAAAAAAAAAACAAAAAACTGTGCTTGGAGTGAATGATCTTGGTATATCTTGATTTCTGATATTTGATTGAAATCTTTAATGCAGTGCAAAAGCATTAGACAACAAAGGCCACACAAGACAGATTTAACTATTTTGATTGCACTTTTCTCCCTACTATTCCCTTAAGAGGGTGATTTTTTCCTTTGCTGCCTTTAACTAGTGGCATTCCTCTTATCCTGGCATCTGCCAGCTCCTTGAATTCTGACAGTCCCCATGCAGGGGAACTGGTTTACACCTCAGTGAACAGGGTGTTCTAGTTTATTCAGGATGAACTATGCCAGTCCATAAGTATTTTATTCAGTTTTATGAAATGGAGGGCTAACTGGATTCCTTTACAATTTATGAGAGGGGCCAGCATTGTTGTGCAATGCCTTAAGCTTCTGCCTGTGACACTGGCATCCCATGTGAGCGCTGCTTTGAGTCCCAGCTGCTCCATTTTTCATCCAGCTCCCTGCTAATGTGCCTGGAAAGTGGCAGAAGATGACCCAAGTTCCTGGGCTCCTGGCTTTGGCCTAGTCGAGCCTTGGCCATTGTGGCCATTTGGGGAGTGAACCAGCTGGTGGAGCTATCTCTCCCTTTTCCTCTTTCTGTAAAATTCTGCCTTTCAAATAAATAAACCTGTAAAGTTAAAAAAAAAAAAAAAAATGAGAGCCTCAGTGAACTGAATTTTTCTGGGACTCAGTCTCTGAGTATCACAGGCTGGCAAATGCTGGCTGGTTTTTTACAGGTGGTCAGTGAGAGCCCCTGCATTATTTTCTGTTGGATGCCTTTAGGCTTGGATAGGTCTTATCTAACCAACACCAGAACTTTCTCAGTTACTTTGAGCCTCTGTTCCTTCTGTCCCGATAAGAAGCAACAACCCCGTACACTCCTAATTTATTCTGATCACTTGAGAACTTACAAATCCACAGTTTTCTGATAGTTCTTTGCCTAGGACTATAACAACCTAAGGGAAACAGTGTAGAGAAAATGAACAGGATGAATTGAGTGTGAGTGGGTGTGAGCTAGTGCCATTAGTAGGAGAGGCTTGAAAAAAATCTGCTTCCTCTAGTAGAGTCTTCATAATGAGTCTTACCATCTATGCACTTTTCAGGCCCACAAGCTTCTCTCTTACTCTTCTAGCCAACTTCTCTCTGCCTGAAAAATGCGACTATATGGATGAGGTGACATACGGGGAGCTGGAGAAGGAGGAAGCTCAGCCCATTGTCACTAAGTACAAGGAGGAGGCGCGGAAGCTGCTGCCCCCCTCTGAGAAGCGGACAAACCGCCGAAACAACCGAAACAAGCGTAACCGGCAGAACCGAAGCCGAGGCCAAGGCTATGGTGAGTCCTGGGGACTTGCCAGCCCCCAGCCTCAGTCCGTTCTTTGTGCTGAGTACAGCAAGATCCTCAAGGGAAGGCCAAGGAAACAGAGTGACGACACTCAAGATACGGACTTGCCTTTGTGGAGCTTGTTCTCCCTGTGTCCTTTATCCTGGCTTCTTGTGCTTTTTCTGTAACCCTTCAACCAAAAAGGTAGTTACTTCTCAACTGAAGCGTTTGTTTCCTTGACTGAAAAGCGCTGCTGTGCCTTCTCATGCATCTAGTTTTCATTTCCAACATACAGATTCCCTGTTTCATTATTCCAGGATGTCTGAAAGATTTTGAACAGTGAAGTTGAATTCTCATCTTCAGTTTTCTTGCTGCATTGTTAGATCAGTCTCATGGTATAAGCAGGAAGTGAATGCATTGCTTCGTAATTGGCGGGGGAGGAGGGTGGTTTACAAATCAAGTTAGGTTATTAGTAAAATTAATTTTCCCTTGAATGTCTAGTTTGTCATTTAAACCCTCAAGAGTGCATTCACTGCCTTTAAAAATGTGTGTGTGTGTGTAAGTGTAACTAAGTCACAGGGCATTTGTACTAGGCATTGGAATGCCAGTAGTTCCTGCTCACCAGGAGCTTATTTGTGCAGACTTTGTTTTTTATGTGTAATAGGACAGGTCTGGGCTATATGATAATATCTGAGATCCCTTCCAGGGCCGAAAGTATGTGACTCTATGAATGGCAGTTTTTATTCATGTTTCTAACTCTGCCATGTATCCTCTTGCCATCCTAAATGTTTTGCAGGAATTGGGGAGCTTCAAAAGCAAGGTGGCTTGGTTTTCTCGTGTTTCTATTCCTCTGCCCTCCCCCCTCAGACTTTTTAAAAGGTCCTGGCTAGTGCTTTAATTAAGATTGTGTGAGCCTGGCCAAAGCAGGCCTCCTGTTCCCCCAGAATTGCCTTTGGCTCCAACCTTTCAATTTCCACTCAAGGGGAGCCAGGACCCCATGCCAGCTGTCTGAGCGCGCTCTCCATTTCTCTTCCAGTGGGCGGGCAGCGCCGAGGCTACGACAACCGGGCCTACGGGCAGCAGAACTGGGGGCAGTATGGAAACAGAGGGGTGAGTGCAGCTCTCCTTCTGCTCCTCCCTCTGGGCCGTGATAGCCATTCCTATTGGCTTGGGGGAGCAGAGGGGTTTGGGCTGTTTTCTCAGGGCTTAGGGTTTTGCCCATTTAATTTGGTCTGGAAGAATTGATTCTGGGAAAATTGACCTTGTTTATATAATATCAAGTTAAGATATGTCTCTTTTAAGAGGGGCTATCAGTGGGTCATTCTGCAGACTCCTAAATCTTCACTCTATTTTTTTCATTTCTCAGGGTTACCGTAATTTCTATGATCGATACAGGGGAGACTATGATCGATTCTACGGGCGAGATTATGAGTACAACAGATACAGAGACTATTACAGACAATACAATCGAGATGTGAGTATCTGCTTGGGCTAGGTGGAGGGTGAAGGGAGGCAGGAGCAAAGGGTGAGTGTCCTACTGCTTCTTCCTCAGCCGGCGCTGGCTTCAAGTGATGAGGTTTTCCCTCTCTTCTAGTGGCAGAATTACTACTACCACCACCCCCAGGACAGAGACCGATACTACAGGAACTACTACGGTTACCAAGGGTATCGGTGAAGCCCCTGCCGTTGACGCCTGTCAGCCACGACGCTGAATCTCTGGGGGTGCCAGGCACCCCCCAAAACACAACCAAGGAAAACAGGGGCTGTCGGGGTGGGGCTGAGCTGCCAGGGCGGGGTGGTGGGGGGGAGGGTGCGCAAGCAGGGGTGGGGGAGGGGGGTGGAAACAAACCACAAAACTGTACATTTTTTTTAAAGTTTGTTGAAAAGAATATTGTCTTATTCTATAAAACATTTCAAACCTAGGTAGATATTTGTAATCAAAAAAACATTTGCGCAGAAAGCAGCACTTAGGGCTGCCTGTTCTATACCCTGCAGTTGGACAGGAAAAGAACTGAAATGTCACCCTTCTGACATACCAAGGCAGCTGAACTGGCAGCCAAGTAAGGGAGAGTGGGGCGGATGGGGAAACGGTGTGAGGGTTCTCTCAGAGCAGGTAGGAGCAGGCAGGAGTGGGGACAGAGGGAGAGCTTGTGACCAGGGCAGTGAAAATAAACTATTGGCTCTTATCAATCACTTGCACCAACTAACCGTTTGTATTTTCTTTACCGACCTTTCCCTCTTGGGATATCTGGTCTGGTGGGCTGGGAGGCCAGAGTGTCCCAATCTCCACTTGGCTGTGACTTCATGCTGTTTGGCCAAGGCATGGAGACTGCCAGTGAGTGGTTCTATTCTATAGGGTTCCCAGGCCACGGCAGCATGGGGACTGTTCTCGACTGCAGAACAGAATAGCCTGCCCCTCTACGTGCCCTTCAATGAAGTCCCATAAAATCTTGGGCAGAATGAGATCGCAGCCCTCAGCCTGAAGGTGGTGATTTGCCAGTGTCTGGTCTCTGTCTTCCAAGGCTGAGAGAGGCAGGAGGTCTCTAAAACCATCTGTTAAGCGTCTGGTCCTCTTACAGTGCGAGAGAAAAAGGTTTCTCAGGGTTTCCAGCTCACAGTAACGCGGCAGGATTCTTCTCGCTGCAGCAGGATATGTATATAGGTGAATCCTGTGGTGTGGGCTCCCAGGCCCAGGTGCTGAGAATAGCAACTATTTTATACAGTGTGGAGGGTTCATGCCCTGCTGGTTTTTTTGATACACAGGTAGACAGTGAATAGAAAAGGGGGGTGGGGCAGCAGCTCAGCAGGCTGCTGAGGCGTGGTTAGAGGGTGTGAATGTGCACATGCGTGAGTGGAAGGGAGCCACCTCTTCCCAGCTTGAAACAGGACTCGCGGGGTGTTTTCCCTATGTGTCCCCAGAGAGGCCTCCAGCCAGGAGACTTCAGTTGGGGGAGTTTTGTTTGTAACTTTACCAACACCCTCCCAGTTCTTGACAGTTGCAGGTTGCTGGGTTCAAGAATATGGGTGGGATATGGGAATGCTTTTTCAAATATTTAGCTTCAGTTTTAATTCATTTTCTTGCTCAGCATTGTGTCAGCCAAGAGCTTACTCAGCAGACACCACATACTGTGGCACTTCCCAGGGAGAAAACCCTGGGTTGTGCCACTAGAAGATGCTTCACTTCCGTTGCCTCACCTGGGCAGCTCTCTGTTGAAGAATCTGTGCTGAGATTTGATCTTCCTGTCCCACTGTTACTTCCATGCAGCCCTTCTGTAGGTGTGCAGACCCTTGTTCTGGCCCTCTGGTTGTCGCTGTCTGTCAGGACACCCTTGCTCAAGTATCTAACCCCAAGGCTGCAACAGGGGCCTGGTAGATGAGTTTGCTTGCTCATAATGTCCTTTCCTTGGCACCTGCTCCTTTGGGGTGCCACCAAATGGGTTTGTGTGTGGCAGTAGGTGAAGTGATTGCATGAACTTTTCTGTAACCCACTAACTTTGTTATTAAGGGAGTTTGAGAAAACTTTGCTCGTAGCATCTGGGCAAGGAGGTAAAAACTTGATCCTAAAGATTCCCTTAGGACAAGATTATGTTGTAGAAGTTTGAATGTCCTGAGGCACAGGCTGCGGTGCCTTTTCAGATACAAAGCCCCCATCCCCACCCCCCACCTCAGTGAATAGCATCTTCTGGGAGTCTGACATGGATCTGACCAGGAGGTGCTAGGGCCCTCGGTCAGGGGTCAAACCTTAAAACTGCTTGGGGATTTTGGGGAGGGGGCTTAGGGGAGGTAATTGCTATTGGTTTTGACACTAGAAAGACATCTTTCTTAATAAAAAGTCCTAGGTGGGTGAAGAGTGGAACTGCCACATCCTTGGTTCAGTCTAAGAGCACTGGCAACAACAGTAGATGTCTGGGTTTTGTTTCTGTCTGTCCTTTTTTATTATGAAAAAACAATGTTAAGGGGGTAAATGTGGATTATGGCAACAGGAGGGATCCCTAGCCTTGTTTTCCGTAGAAGACTTGTTTAGTGTTTTATCAGACGTCTGTTGTAGTTGTTATATAGATGGAAAAGCTTGTGAGAAAAACACCACATGGAGCCTGTAAATGTTTTTGCACAACCTGTAATGCATTTTTGGAAGTGGCCAGTAAAAAAGGGTTTTACCATTTTAAAAAAAATGTAACTGTGTCATTGTTTACATGTGTAACTTTTTCCTCCCCTGTTCTCATTACAACATTCTGGCAAAAATGTAGGCACCTTAGCTTCCAGTTTTAGAATAAATAACCATTTGGATCGAATCCACCCTCTCTCCTGTGGCTGCACTGTCTGGGGTGGAGTGTGTCATTGGGCTGTTTTATTTTTGTATTTTTAATGCTGCTTTCTCAAGGTGCACTGGGGCCAGTCATGAGGCTTTCCTCTTGTAAGGCTGCTCTTCCTTTTTCTACCCTGCCCTCACTTGGGAGCCAGCTGTGATCTCACCTGGGGGGATAGGAGGGGACTTGTTGGTCCATTTAGTGCTTGCTTAAGCTGAGCTTCAGTTATTGGTATAAAAGAAATTAAATTGTAACTCATGACCTCCTGTATTTGGCCTTTACTAAAACCAGTTAGATGCTTGAAGAGGTAAGGCTCCATTTATGAAGCCTATTAAGTTTATTCATTCACCTACAAAGAAAAGCCCACTCATTCAACAGATGTTTGATTGCTGTTATTTTCTGATTTGAAGAATGAGAGGTAACTAACAAAAGCACTCTTGGTTACTACCACTGGAGTGATGCTAATTGCAATTTCTAATGAATGGTCAGGGCCTTTTGCTCACAGCATCTAGTGTTCTCAGGGGTTATGGCATTGACACAGATAACCGCACTCAAGTGACAGGTCCCACAAGATTTTTTAATGGTTATAGCTCATGCCTTGTATCTAGTAACCTCTAAGCCCTGTCTTTCCCTAACCACTCCACCCAGAGCTGCAGCCATTATCACCCCTCATCAGACAGGTATGCAAATTGCAAAAAAATATTGAGCAGAGACTGAAAAAAAAAAGCTTAATATCACGGTTATTACCATGTATCGAGCACTTCTGGCTGATGTGGCAGTTTTCACTTACACCTGGACTTTTCCCAGCACTCTGATGCGGCAGGAAAAAGGAAAGGTATTTGCTGTGCCCTTTTGTCACTTAAGCACGAACAGTGCAATCTATTCATTCGCGTTCCTGCACTGTGCCTGGCATTATGGGATGCAGACTGACATCCAGTCCTTTCTGGACTTGTCACAAGTGCCAGGAGGAGACCAAATAGGGTCCTGACCCTTGTAAGGGCTCAGAGGCTGCATCGACAGTGAAAGCTGCTAGTCTACTAGGCTGCACTGGTCCCAAGTTCACTGGGTGCCCTGGATCCCACAGAGCATCCTTAGGCCACGGTCAGCTGCTATGATCGAACACCCCTTACTCCTTCGGAGTGAGGAAGCTGAGGGTGGGCCTATCCCTCATGCAGGTCAACGTGCATCACAAAGCACGTGCGGCCCCAAGCAGCTGCAGGGGGCCATCCTTGAGGAGCAGCCACGGAAGTGTACCTTTGTCCTGGCTCTGTGCCCTCCATGTTTATCCTTGAAAGGGGAATGCAGATGGGGCCGAGTCGGTTTGAAGAAGATGAAAGTATAGGAAACGCAAGCCGAACAATGCCAGTAGCTAGCTCCAGGGAGAGTAGGAAGCGACCGAGGAACGGCGCCCCAGATGGATGGTACTGGGCCCCCCTCCCCGAGTTACCGCTTCAAAGGGAGCCTCTATTCGGCAAGATGTGGAGACCTCAGTTTCCCCTCACGATCAGCGCAGACCTCGCGGGGCTTCCCGAGGTCCCCTTGTTCCATGATCCTCGTTATAGTCGCCCTTCGGCTCCCTCAGAAACACATCCAATTCCACCCCCCGGTGTGAGCGGCGCGGACACGGACTTGGCGATAGCAGGGGCAGCCATTTTGAGACCAGACGAGCACGGAAGGGACCATATCGAGAACGCTGGATGCCTAGATGCCGCCATTTTAAGAGAAGCCCTGTACGGCGCAACGCCGTGTGCGGGGGCCGCCATGTTGGCGCCGTCGCTGACAGTGGCCATCTTGGCTGAAGCCGGCACGGGCGCGGCCATCTTAGGCCCGAAATCTGCGCCTGTCGCGCTAACGAGCCCCGCCCCGCCCCGCCCCTCGACTCCTAAGTGTTCCTGCGCTGTGCGCCGGCCTCCCGAGGCCCCCGAGCCCGCCGGCCTCCCCTCGGCTGGGCTGCCATTGCCCCGGCCTTCACTGCTCGCGCGCGAGTGTGAATGCCCTTGGCAGCCTCCGAGCGTCGGCTGTAACTTAAGTCTTACCGTGGGGACGCTCTCGCGCCCGCCCGCCCGCCGGTCTTCGATGCTGGACCGTGTCCCACCTGCTTTGACCTGCCCCGGTCCCTGGGAATGGCCAAGCTATTGACTGGTGGTCCTTTCCCCCAAGAACGCTAATACGGGAGCTGTCCTCTGAGGCTCTGGAGGACTTTATTCTTCAAATGGCTTTTCCCTTCCAGTAGCTCCAGGTGAGACTGAGAGCAAGCACCCGGCCCACCCCTCTCCCCATTGTCTGAGCGGGTCACAGGGAGGCTGGCAGAGTGTGATGGCGCCCTTCCGTGGGTGGAGCAACGGGAGTGGGGTGGGGGACTGGGGTCAGCCGCCCGGGCCAAGGGGAGGGGTCGGCAGGTAGGTGAGGGAGGGCCTTGTGCTTCCGATACTCGGGTGTGGGCCAGGGTTGGAGGTGAGGTGCAGGGAGCTGGGCTCGTGGCAGTTACCGACCTAAGAAGGGCCCGGGAGAGGGGACGGTGAGGAGTGGTGAGGGGCAGCGGGGCGGCTCAGAGCAGGGCGCAGAAGAACTTCTTCTCCCGGAAGGGGTTCTCCGAGGTGGGGACAGGAGTGATGAGGGGGTCCTCACAGGCGTGGGCGTCACAGTAAGTCATCAGGTCCGCGGCCGCCTTGGACACCTGGGAAGCCGCCACGAGGGGGTGGTTAGCCAGAAGCTCTGGGCGGGGCGGCAGCCTCCCTCCCCATATGGGCCGTCTTTTGCCATCTGTAGGGCTGCTGGAGACGTCCTCTTCCCTCGTCCCACACAGTCCTCCCCTGGCCTCAGCAAGTTAAAGCAAAGAGAGCATCTCTCCTCCGGAGCTCGGGAACCTATAGCACAGCATGGCCTGGCCAACGAAGGGGTGCCAGGGTCCCACCCACCTTTATCCGGCATAAACTGGCTTCGATCTTAAGCTGTTCCACCATCTTGCGGGCTTGCCCAATACTCATAGTGCTGTTCACAGGGGTCTCTCCCTTCATCCTGGAGAGGAGTGGGAGAAAGGTCAAGGCAGTTTCAGCTGAAGGCTCTTCCTCCTCTCCCCTCCCCTCCCCCCACTAGCCTTTACAAGGCTGTACCCCAGTTCTCCCCCCCCCCATGGCCTGGTCCATCTCTGTCTCCCTCAGTGAAAAACTGGAGAGGATGCGAGGAGGTGCTCCCCAAATTCCCACATGACCTGGGCCACAGGTCACTAAGCATTACCCCAGTGTTTAGGGATTTTCAGCCCTTCCAGTCCTGTATGTTCCCAGCTCCGAAACCCTCAGCCAGAAAGAGCCCCACCCTGGTGAGGAGAGCACATCACTCCCATCTGCCCCCCTGAGCTCCGACGGGAGAAAAACAGGCTTCCTTCTCCGTACTCACCTGGAGCACAGGCGGCGGCAGCCCTGGGTGTAGAGTCTGGGGGAGGGGTGGGGGGCACAAAAACCTCGTGCCTCAGATGGGTGCCCCACCCTGCAAGGGGCTGCAGTTGGAAGTACCTGACGCAGAAGCCGTCAGTTAACACAGAGGCTACTGGGGAAGGCTGCGCCAGGGGGCTGCAGGGGGCTGCTCTCGGTCCCTGCAGCTCCAGCACTGCCCAGATGGCTGGTACCTGGAGGATGAAGGATGCTGGAAGGAGCTGCTCTGAGCCTGGAGCATACCAACTGCCTGGCCAGTGGGGGAGCCGGGCGGGCTGCTGCCTGCATCCCCTGCTCACACCCCCTCCATGCCCCTCCCCCACTGCAGACATCCTCAGGCTGGGTAGAGCCCTTCCCAGAGGAGCTGCGGAGATGGACTCCCCCCTCACATGGGGTGGGCTGGGCCGGTGACAGCTCCCGCAGTGGAGTCCGGACTGGCTGCCTGGGACCCTGCTCATTTGAAAATCTGACATCAGCTGGGCAGTCGCGCCCCCCCCCCCCATTCCTCCCCATACCCTGACACAGCACTTCGCACCTGAGTCTTCGTTTCTCTCCCAGGGACCCTGCATTCCCTGTATCCAGGAAAATGGGATGTGCTACAGGTGATCAGCACTTCATGTTCTAGTCACAAGTGACAGAGCCAGGGGCAGCAAAGCAGCGTCATCGAGACGCTGTCCGCAGAAATGGCAGACCCTCGAGGAGAGGTTGCGGGAAAAGCAGTGTGCGGAGACCAGGTCAGAGGATCGGACAAGGAAGAGGTAAGGGGCCTTGTGGAAGCTTTCTGGAAAGAGGCAGGCCTGGGGGAGGAGGGAGCGGTGCGGGCTGGGAGTACTGGTTTGAGGAATTTCGTGCATGTTGAGTACTGACCTCCCTCACCTACCGTGCTGTGCTGTGTGCTGGCCTTGCCCTCGAAAGGACTTTTATCTTGGGACCAGACAGATAAGGATTTGAAAATGCCAAGTGCCCAGGCCTAGCGCAGACAATGCGCTGTGGAGAGCGCGGCCAGTACAGGTCGGAGGAGGCAGATCACGCATCCTGAAAACGCGGGGCGCAGTGGCTAGCGGACTGCAAGCCCGCCTGCGCAACGCGCCAAGTGCACAGGCTCCTGCAGACTGGAACACTGGCCGCCTACAGGCCCCGGGAGCCGCAGGGGACAAAAGTCACTGCGGTCCGGATGCCCCTGGCGCCCAGCCTTGCCCCTCCCCCACCGCGGCTCTGGGGGTTCAGGGGTCTGTGGGGGAAGGTACCGGGAGATGGCGTCCTCCAGGAGAGGGGAGGCAGCTGAGGCAGAGCGTGCCTCCGGACTGGAAGGAGGTGCCATGCCTCGGGGCAGATACGGCGGGCACCTGGCTGCCGCAGGGGACAGAGGTGCGTGAGGGGCGGAGCCTCGCAGCCCCGGCCCGCCCCTCGGGCGAGGCCCCGCCTCCTCAGGCTACCAGGGCGGCGGGGGCGGGGCTTCTCGGGACCCGGAAATCCCGTCCCGCGGTTGCCTGGGCAGCGGGAGGCTGGTGAGTCCGCGCCGCGGCGGGCGGCCGGCTGGTTGCCATGGCGGCGCAGTGAGGCGGGGGCTCCCGGCGCCATCGCGGAGCCAGGGGCTGGGGGAGCGGCCGTTGGCGGAGGGACGCCCGCCCTGCCCAGCGTGGGGCTCGGCCGGCCCGCAGGCGGAGAGGAGGCGTTGACCGCTCGTAGGCTGCTGGCGAGCTTAGGGCCTCCTCTCCGTGCCACACCTGGCAGTGTGAGTTCAGTGTCATCGTGTGTGTAAAAGCTTTTGCAAAGAATTTAAGATGCTCGTTCTCCGTGGGTTCTGTTTTGCTAACGAATGTCAGAGTGATTTGTTGCAAGATCAGTGCCGAAGGAGTTGGGTGAAGGGAGCACAGCGGAGGTGGACAGAGGATAACTGGCGGAGAACTGGTTCCTTTGGAGAAGGGCCATGGGAAACACTGACTTTGCTTTGCTCTCTGTGGTTCGGCAAAGCCAGTCCAGTAAGCTTTTTTGTCCCCGCCTCCCTGGGGAAAGGAGCCATTCTTTCTCCTCTCTCATTCCAGGAGCCGCCAGCCGCCTCATCCCATGGCCAGGGTTGGCGTCCGTGTGGCAGAGCAGCCAAGAACTCAAGGCCTGAACCTGGAACCAGAGCCCCTGCTCTCCCCACCATGGTCCACGACCCTCCGGTGCCTGCCTTTCTGTGGGCCCAGGAGGTGGGCCATGTCCTGGCAGGCCGTGCCCGCAGGCTGCTGCTGCAGTTTGGGGTGCTCTTCTGCACCATGCTCCTCCTGCTCTGGGTGTCCGTCTTCCTTTACGGCTCCTTCTACTACTCCTACATGCCGACAGTCAGCCACCTCAGCCCCGTGCACTTCTACTACAGGTGAGGGCAGGCTTCTCGCAAAGTCCGGGAGAAGTGCTGCAGGGGCCCTCGGAGCTGTTCAGCCCAGTCCCCTCATTTTACCCAGGAGGAGCCTTGAGCCCAGTGTGCCAGAGGACTTCTCACGGCATGGCCCAGCGCTGGAGCAGGTGTGAACTGGTGGGGCTTTAGGGTCCTTGTTCTACCTGTGGTTACTGAGTTCTGATTTTAAAAACAAGAAAGAAAAAAAAAAGCAGTTCCACTTCTAGGCTGTCATACTGAGGACCAATTCTATCTGCACTGGATCCGAATTCTCTCCAGGCCACTAGAGACTTTTGAGACAACACAGCGCTCTGAGCATCTCAGAACTAGCCTGGCTTTGGGTAGAGAAGGTATGGGGAAAGCAGCAGTTTGCCTTTTCCTTTCCTGCCTCCCACACTCAGTAGTCTGTGGAACTGGAGCCAGTGTGCAAACACAAGGTGATGGGCTTTAAACTTCCCTGGCCCCTTGGCTCCTCTCCACCTCCCAGGCTCTCTCTCCTTTTAGCAATGGCTGTGGGATCAATCAGTGTGTACGAAAAGACCATTATTGTCAGTGGTCCACAGTGTCATTTTTTTCCCCCTGCCCTGAGTCCCTGGTCATGAACTATAATTTTTTTTTAAAAGATTTATTTTTTATTTATTTGAAAGAGAGAGAGAGAGAGAAAGAGGTCTTTCATCCTCTGGCTCACTTCCCAAATGGCCACAACAGCTGGGGGCTGGGTCAGGCTGAAGCTAGGAGCCCGGAGCTGCTTCCAGGTCTCCCACGTGGGTGCAGGGGCCCAAGGACTTTGGCCATCTTCCACTGCTTTCACAGGCGCATTAGCAGGGAGCTGGATCAGAAATGGAGCAGCCAGGTCTCAAACTAGCACCCATATGGGATGCTGGCATCACAGGTGGAGGCTTAACCTACTATGCCACAACACCAACCCTGCTGTAAGGTAGAGTTTCTTCAGCTTTTAGGAAACAGACTTTAGGAAAGCTATAGCCATGCCTGCTATAAAAATGTATATACACTATGCCCTGGCATGTGCTGCACATACATACTCATGCAATTTTTCCCACAGATTGAAGCATCTTTAAAGATATCTGTGGAGGGCTGGGTGTTTGGTACAGCAGTTTAGATGCTACTTAGGACACCATGTTGCATATCATAGTGATTGGGGTTGGAGTCCCACTCTACTGCTGATTCCAGTTTCCTGCTAATGCATATTCCAAGAGGCAAAAGGTAATGGCTCAAGTACTTGAGTCCCTGCCAGCCAAATGAGAGACCTGAATTGAGTTTTTGGCTCCTTTGTCCTGGTGCAACCCTGGCTGGTGTGGGCATTTGAGGAGGGAACCAATGGATGGAAAATGAAAACAAATAAAAATTTTTAGGGTCCAGGGTTGTGGTGTAGCAGGTTAAGCCTGTGCCTACAACACCGGCATCCCATAGGGTGGCAATTTGAGACCTGGCTGTTCCACTTCCTATCCAGCTCCCTACTGATGTGCCTGGGAAAGCAGCAGGAAATGGCCCAGGTGCTTGGGCCTCTGAATCTACATGGGAGACCTGGAAGAAGCTCCAGGCTCCTAGCTTCAGTCTGGCCCAGCCTCAGCTGTTGTGCCATTTGGAGACTAAACTAGCAGTTGGAAGCTATCTCTCTGTCTCTCTGTAACACTGCCTTTCAAATAAGTAAATATATAAATAAATCTTTAAAATTTTTTTAAAACAAACCATCTGGAGCATAATGGGTTAAGCTGCCATCTACAATGCTGGCATCCCATATACAGCTCCATCTAATGTGCCTGGGAAAGCAGCAGAAGATAACCCAAGTGCTTAGGCCTCTACACCTACGTGGGAGACCTGGATGAAGCTCCTGGCTCCTGGCTCCCAGCCCAGGCTGTTGCAGCCATTTGGGGAGTAAGCCAGCAGATGGAAGATGTCTCTTTTTTCTCTTATCTCTCTCTAACTCTGCCTTTCAAATAAATAAAATAAATCTTTAAAAAAAAAACAAAAACCAACCATGTGGCATAGCAAATAAAGCTGCTGCCTGGGTCGCCGACATCCCATATGGTGCTGGTTCCTGTCCCAGCTTCTCCACTTCTGATCCAGCTCCCTGCTAATAGCCTGGGAAAAGCAGCAGAAGGTGCCTAAGGGTTTGGGCCCCTGCCACCCATGTAGGAGACCCAGATGAAGTTCCTGGCATTGGCCTGGCCCAGCAGCCCTGGGAGTAAACCAACACATGGAAGATATCTTTCTGTGTAACTCTTACTTTCAAGTAAATTAAACAAATAACAACAGAAATATTTGGATCCTTTCAAAAGTGTTTTCTCAAACTAGGCCCCAGACCAGAACTAACTAACTTACTTACTTACTTACTTTCTTTCTCTCTCTCTCTCTCTCTTATTTATTTATTTATTTATTTGTTTATTTATTTATTTTATTTGAAAGAGTTACAGAGAGAGGTAGAAACAGAGATCTTCCATCCGCTGGATCACTGCCCAGATGGCCATAACAGCCAAGGCTGAGCCAGACTGAAGCCAGGAACTTCCTCTGGGTCTCCCACGTGGGTGCAGGGGCCCAAGCACTTCAGCCATCTTCCACTGCTTTCCCAGGCCATCGCAGAGAGCTGGATCAGAAGTGGAGCAGCCAGGATATGGGATACTGGTGCTGCTGGCCAGGCTGCAACCTGCAGTGCGACAGCGCCAGCCCCTGGACGCAAGCATCTTAAGCAGTGTCTTAACTGCTGCACCAAACATCTGCCCCTCAAGTGAGTCTTTAGAAACCCTAAAGTGTGGGGCCATCGTTGGTGCACTGGGTTAAGCTGCCACCTGCAATGCCACCATTCCACATAGCAGTGCTGGTTTGAGTCCCAGCTGCTCTGCTTCCAATCCAGTCTCTTGCTAATGCACCTAGGAAGGCAGCAGAAGATGGCCCAAGTACCTAGGCCACTGCTCCCCATGTGAGAGACTAGGGTAGAGCGCCTGGCTCCTGCCTTCAGCCTGGCGCAGTCCTGGCTTTCACAGCCATTTAGGGAGTGAACCAGCAGATCCTTCTCTCTCTCTCTTTCTTTCTCTCTCTCTTTCTTTTCTTTCTCTCTCTCTCTCTTTCTCTTATCTCTTTCTCTTTCTCTTATCTCTGACTCTCCTTCTCTGTGTCTTTCTGCCTTTCAAATAAGTGAATCTTTTGGGCCATCTCTGTGGTTCAGTGGGTTAACGCCCTGGCCTGAAGCGCCGGCATCCCATATGGGTGCTGGTTCTAGTCCTGGCTGCTCTACTTCTGATCCAGCTCTCTGCTATGGCCTAGGAAAGCAGTAGAAGATTTCTCAAGTGCTTGGGCCCCTGCACCCATGTGGGAGACCTGGAAGAAGCTCCTGGCTTCGGATCAGCACAGCTCCAGCTGTTGCGGCCAATTGGGAATTGGGGAGTGAATCGGTGGATAGAAGACTCTCTCTCTCTCTCTCTCTCTCTCTGCCTCTCCTCTCTCTGTGTAACTGACTTTCAAGTAAAATAAATAAATCTTTAAAAAAAAAAGATTCTCTTTAAAAAAAATTTTTTTTAAAGAGACACTAAAGTAGGAAACTAGATTCCCATCTAAGAATGTCTGCTGTAATGAAAGAAATTGATGGAGCAGTAAGAGAATTAAAAGTCCTCTTGGGCCTGCGCTGCGGCTCACTAGGGTAATCCTCCGCCTGCAGCGCCGGCACTCTGGGTTCTAGTCCCGGTTGGGGCCCCGTTTCTGTCCCGGTTGCCCCTCTTCCAGGCCAGCTCTCTGCTGTGGCCAGGGAGTGCAGTGGAGGATGGCCCAAGTGCTTGGGCCCTGCACCCCATGAGACCAGGAGGAATCACCTGGCTCCTGCCTTCCAATCGGCATAGCTCACCGGCCATAGTGGCCATTTAGGGGGTGAACCAATGGAAGGGAGACCTTTCTCTCTCTCTCTCTCTCTCTCTCTCTCTCTGTGTGTCTAACTCTGCCTGTCAAAAAAAAAAAAAAAAAAAAGTCATCTTGGTGTTTTGAGTCTCCTGGCTGCATGTTTTCCTCCATCTCTCTGTATCAGAGAGAAGCTGCCTGTTGTGAGAGAAGGGATCTGGGACAAGAGGGAGTCCTGGTGGGCCAGGAGGTGTGCAGACATTTGTAAGGCAGGCTCTGTAACTTACCAGAGGATCGTCCTCCATTCTTATTTAGGACCGACTGCGATTCCTCCTCCACCTCGCTCTGCTCCTTCCCTGTTGCCAATGTCTCACTGGCAAAGAGTGGACGTGATCGGGTGAGTAGGGGGGCTAGAGAAAGGACTCATTAGTGCTTTGATGACTCAAGTAGCAAGGCTTGAGAAAAATGTAGGGAATCGGGGTTGAGTAACAGTGTCTAAGAGGAAGGGAGGTTGAAAAGAAATGGAAATCTAAGCTGTATTGTACAGCAAATACTAATGTTCTAATTTCCAACAAAGCAGATGAGATGTGACCTCTTTGAGCTATTTTATTGGAATAGGATGGCATCCACCCAAGAGTTTTAAAAGCTTATATGTAACATTATGAAATGGTTGACAAATATGTGTGACCTGTCGTCACAAAGGGTACTGGGCCAGAGGACTTGCCAGAGGCCAGTATGACTCTGATAAACCTGGGAACCCTGAGAAATGCAAATGGAGACTCAGCTTCCTTACCCGGCAAGCTGGTGGTGGCTCTGATAGGTGTAGGATCTGTAAACATTCAGAAAGGACCTTGGATGTCAACACCAGTTCTGATGAGTAGAGCTTTTTGAGTTGTCAGTCACCAGTGTGATCAGACATAAGCAATGCTGAGATTTAAGAATTTAAAAATCATTGGAAAATTATTTTTCAAAAGTGATACTTGGGAGGAAAGTGACTTAGAAATATCACTCTGGTAGGAGGAGTATGAGCTATAGCAGCTGGGCTTCCCTGGGACCGTTATTCAGCCCGGCCTGCTCTAGTGCAAATAGCCTGGGAGATGGTGTGTCCTGGGACATGTTCCAGTGTGTCCACCACGTAGCCAGACACTATCAGGAAATCTCTGCTGGTCAGATGACTGGGGCCCAAGTTGGCATGGGTGACAGGGGGCCGTTCAGACTAGTGAAGTAGAATGTTAGGCACCTCACAGCAAAAGTAGCCAGTAGCCCAGCTACCAGGAAAGGAACTCAGAAGCTATTTCAGAAGGTACTGTGGAGACACTGATTGGGTGTGCTTCTCTGGTTAAAAAGCAGTGGTCAGTGGAGCATCCTGAGAGGAGACTAGAAAGCAAGCAAGCCACGGTGCACCTGCACCTGCAGCAGTATGTACAGCTGTGTGTCTGCCCTTGTGGAGATCATGTTGGTGATGCAGGCAGCCTAGAAGCATCACTGGTGTGAGCCTGCTAGATGAGGAAGAGGAAAAGCTGAAGGTGAGAAGAGATCTAGCCCAGTCGGGGGTAGAGGAGCCTGGACGTTCTGTTCATCGAAAGTGAACATTTTTATATGAATTTATGAAATAATGTGTCCACTGTATGGGAGAAGCCTTGTTAGAAGTAGAAGATGCAGGCCTGTGCTCTCAAGGAGCTCACCAGGTTGATTTAAAAAACAGCAACAAAAAACTATAAAGTGAGGGAGGCTGTTATGGTACAGCGGGTCAAGCCACCGCTTGCGATGCCAGCTTCTCATATGTGAATGTCTGTTCTAGTCCTGACTGCTCTACTTCCAGTCCAGCTTTGTGCTAATGCACCTGGGAAGGCAGCAGATGCTGGCCCAAGTACTTGGACCCCTGCCACCCATGTTGGAGACCAGGATGGCTTCAGCCTTGCCCAGACCCTGGCTGTTGTGGCCATTTAGAGAGTGAATCAACAGATGGAACATGTTCTGTCTCCCCTCCCCTCTCACTCTCTCACTGTGCCTTTCAAATAAGTAAGTATTTTTTAAAACTATGCATTGATTTGCATGCAGTAAAGTGTAAGATGCATACATTCCAGGAAAATTTGTGAATTAGATCAGTGTAGTCTGGAATATTCTGAGACTGTGGAGATGAGGCATGTCTTTGAAGAGAGGTGAATCGTGTGTAACAGTGACGTAGGAGGCGAGACTCCTCCCTTTAAACAGACCAGTGAGAATGAAGGCATGGGTTGGTCCACAAGGCTCTAGTATTAGACTCGGAGGATCACCTTGAGAGAGATGACATTTTTTAAACTTACCAGGTTTTTAAAACAATAACAGCTTTATTGAGATTTAATTCATGTTCACCACGTGGTATGTATAGTTCAAATGTTGAAACTGCCTCCATGACCATTGGCAGATTGTGGAGGTGACTCACTGTAGGTTAAGGTGGTATGTTTCAGCTTTATTTATTTATCTACTTATTTGAGAGGTAGAGTTACAGAGAGAGGGAGAGGCAGAGAGAAAGGTCTTCCATCTGCTGGTTCACTCCCCAAATGGCTGCAGCAGCCAAGGCTGGGCCAGGCCGGAGCCAGGAGCCAGGAGCTTCTTCTGGGACTTCCACACGGTGCAGAGGCCCAAGCACTTGGGCCACCTTCCTCTTCTTTCCCAGGCCAGAAGCAGAGAGCTGGAGTGGTAGAGGGGTAGCCGAGACACGAACCAGCACCCATATGGGATGCCAGCGCCACAGGCAGAGGCTTAGGCCACTGTGCCACAGCACCACAGGCCCAACCCCCAGCTTTATTTTTTCAACCCATTCCCTCTGGTTAAAAGCTTTCCCCACTCCTGTGATTCTAATATACCATCCAGAGGGAGTCATTCTGTTAGCTAAGAGTCATTCAGTGAGAAGACGAAAAGAATCCTGGGAGTGGTCAGGGAAAATTAGGGCGTGTATGGTGGCAAATCTTTAACTTTTGAGGCTGATCCCAGTGAAGACTCTTCCCACCGTGAGTTTCAGGGTTCTACCAACAGAACCAAGATGAGGGACCCAGAATGATATAAAGATGATCTGGAACCAGGACGATTATGCGAGAGCTGGCTAGGGAGACTGTGAGTGCTGCTTGCTCTTGCTTAATTAATAATATAAGTGAGGGCAGGCTGGGCCCAGGGGGACGGCCTCACTGGCACACAGTGAGTAACATCTGAGTAACAGATGTCCCAGTTGGCAACGTGCGGTTCACTTTTGGAAAAGAAATGCTACACAGCCTTTCTGAGAACAGTGCAGCAAGTCTGAGAGCCAAAGGGATCCACAGGCCATGGAAGTGGGGGGATCCAGCCACCAGAAGGGGGCAGCACATTCCTGCCATGGCACATGGAGAGGGCTGTTAGGCTAACCAAGGGGCACGGCACAGCATGTTGAGGAAGTGGAAGGGAGGTGGAAAAAGGAAAGGCCAATTTTTTGTATTTTTTTTTAAATGCTGGTGGCTACACTGGACAGGTGCTGATGTATGGACAGCCGTATCGTGTCACCTTAGAGCTTGAGCTGCCAGAGTCGCCCGTGAATCAAGATTTGGGCATGTTCCTGGTCACCGTATCATGCTACACGAGGGGTGGCCGAGTCATCTCCACTTCCTCGCGCTCCGTAAGTGTTCACAGCTTGTCTGAGAAGGTGTGGCAGATGACAGCAGAGCAGAAAATCTGGGTAGGGCTTCTGGAGGAAACCTCCTTGGCTCTGAGGTCACAGCCAACGTCAGGATAAGGGAAGAAGAATGAGCTCACCAACCGGAAACATTTGCCACCACCCCTGGCGCCTGATGAGCACAGCTGACTTTGGGGTCAGCTGTGAAGAGCAGGGCTGCTCCTGGAAGGCAGAGGCAGGCTGGCGCGAGGCAGACCTGAGTTTGTGTCCACAAAGGCACGCTGGCCTGCAGGACAGCGGACCTCGTTAGTACCAGGTACTGCAAAATGGATGTGCTGGTTACTGCCTCACAGCAAGCCTAGTGTGGATTCAGTGAGGAAATGTAAAGTTCTCATCAGCACATAGTTCAGTCAGGGTCTCCATTCATATACTGTCCACCACACCATGAAAGAAATCCCTGACTGTGCATGGGCGGGGGGAGAGATTCAGACGGTACCCTAGGACTTCAGTACCATCCTTGGTTGTAGAACTGCTTGGGAGGAGAGAAAGATCAGAGTTGGGCTCACCCTAGGAAGGTTTCTTGGCAGTGGGGCCTTTGTTGTATTAGAATGGAGAAGCGTGATTGGGTAGTGGGGGAGAGGTTGTGCAGTTGAAATGGTTGGGTGAGGACTTGGGGGACAGGAAGTGAAAGGGAAGGAACAGGGGGCTTGAGAAGGAAGCAGCCTCCATAGATGTCTGGGGGTGGGGGAGAGGTGGTGAGGCCACGGGAATGTGGGGCCGCAGTCCCAGCCTCGCCTCTGGCCCCCCAGGTGATGCTGCATTATCGCTCGGACCTGCTGCAGATGCTGGACACGCTGGTCTTCTCCAGCCTCCTGCTGTTCGGCTTCGCTGAGCAGAAGCAGCTGCTGGAGGTGGAGCTGTATGCCGACTATAGAGAGAACTCGGTGAGTGGAGCAAACGGTAACGGAGCCAGCCCTCCTCTCAGCGCAGAATTACCGCGGGGAACCTCTGGTCTCAGTCGAGGGATGACAGTGGAGAGGCTGTGAGCAGGCCTCAGACTGGGCTGGGGCAAGTGACAGCAGGGATCCTGGCCTGACACGGCCCTCTCCCTACCCCGCTGCAGTACGTGCCAACCACCGGCGTGGTTATCGAGATCCACAGCAAGCGCATCCAGATGTATGGCGCCTACCTCCGCATCCACGCCCACTTCACTGGGCTCAGGTGAGGAGCTGCTGGAGTGGACCTCGGCAACCCTCCTGGGGGCTGTCCTTGAGTGCAGGCGGTCCCAAGCAGACGTGGCAGCTTCACAGAGCAGCGGTGCTTGTGTGCTTTTGTGTACGCCAGAGGCTCTCAGTCCTGACTATGTGTCAGCATATCAGCTGCCCGGGGAGCTTTTAAAAAATACAGAGTCATCAGTGCAGCCAGGATTTGTTAGACCAGCAGGCGCCCTGGCCAGGAACCCCTGTCCTGAACCATTGGCTCAGCAAGAGCTGAGGGAGCTCTTGAGAGACAGCCACGGTCGAGGCCATCGCTTGTGGTCCTGCCGGTGGTGTTGTGCCTTTATTAGAGCGGCAGCAGCATCTGGCAGCTGTGTCGGGGAGGTGAGGCAGAGGGCCCTCTAGCCAAGCTCACTTGAATTGCCCTGAAGCTGTCTGGGAAATGAGAAGGCGGTGCTCTCCAGCATCTGCTGCTCCCTCACTCTGCCGTCTTCCTGCCTCAGGTACTTGCTGTACAACTTCCCGATGACCTGCGCCTTTGTGGGCGTCGCCAGCAACTTCACCTTCCTCAGCGTCATCGTGCTCTTCAGCTACATGCAGTGGGTGTGGGGGGGCGTCTGGCCCCGGCACCGCCTCTCTCTGCAGGTCGCAGGGGTGTGGGAGCAGGCTGGTGGCTAGGGCTTGAGGGCTCAGAACAGCGTGGCCTCCTTGCTCAGTAGGCTGTCCTCTACAGGTTAATATCCAAAAAAGGGACAATTCCCGAAAGGAAGTCCAGCGAAGGATCTCCACCCATCAGCCAGGTAAAGGTGTTGGGAGGGGCAGGTGGGACTGGCTGGGCGAGAGGGTGCCTGCCTTGTCTAATGAGACTTAAAGCACCCGCATATGGATGGAGGGTCAAAGGAAAAGCTGACCCCGCTGCCTGGCCCAGCCCCTAATCCCAGCCTACCCTGTATCCACTTGGTAGGCGCAGGGCCTGAAGGCCAGGAGGAGTCAACCCCGCAGTCAGATGTGACAGAGGACGGCGAGAGCCCTGAAGATCCCTCAGGGACAGGTGAGGAGCAGCAGCAGTGGCCCCTGCCCCCTGGGGACTCCCCAGCGTCACCCTCGCCCCGGGATCTGACCCCGCCTTCCTCTTCTGGCTGCAGAAGGCCAGCTGTCCGAGGAAGAGAAAGCAGAGCGGCGGCCCCTAAATGGAGAGGAGGAGCTAGAGCCCGAGGCCAGTGATGGTGAGGGCGCCCACCGTGGGACCCGGGTGGCGTGGGGTTCGGGGAGGCACCCGGTTAAATCTCCTGGGGGATTTTGTTCTTCTCTTTGCTGGCCCAGGTTCAGGCTCCTGGGAAGATGCAGCTCTGCTGACCGAGGCCAACCTGCCTGCCCCTGCCCCTGCCTCTGCCCTGGCTCCGGAGACCCTGGGCAGCTCCGAAGCCTCTGTGGGTGCTCTGCGACAGCGCCCCACCTGCTCCAGTTCCTGAAGAGAAGAGGGCAGATTCCTCACATTCCAGCACTTTCCCACCTGAGCGCTCACCCCTGTTTTTCCCTTAATAAACTATTTTGTGCCAGCTGCTTCCCTGAGTCTTTCGAAATGGATTCCAGGCCATTTGTTCACCCTGTGTTCCCCAGGCATCTCCCTCCAGACCTGGACTATTTTAACCACAGCTGTTTCCATTCATAAGCCTAGGAAATCCAAGGAGAGGAAACCTACTCTGACCCCAGCAGGCTTTCCCACTCCATCCATGTGACTCCCTCAGGGGAGGGGACCGTGCAGGGCGGGTCTGCAGAGCAGGAATACATCACTCTGGCCTCTGCACCCCTCCCTCTCTCTGTCCATTGGGAGGCAGAAGACAGGAAATGACTGCCAGGGATGTGGTATGATTTTTACTGAAACAGCAGCGTTGTGTGGCTCTGGCCGCATGCTGTCCACAGCTGTTTTCCTCTCCTGCGGGCCAGGTGGCCGCCTCTCCTCTCCCCTTGTCTGCTCTGCCGTGTTCTCCTCCCAGCCCTTCACATGACTCCAGCTTTTGGATTCCCTGCTCCTGGCTGCTGTCCACATTCCACTCGTCTTTCAGAACCCAGGCGTCCTGGCCTCCAGTTCAAACCGCTGCGTGTGCTTCCCCCACCCCGGCCCCATGACTCAGGCCTTCTGAAGGGACCAGCCCTCTTCTTGGCACTTGCAGGGGAGAGAGAGAGGGGTGGGGGCTAGTTGGTGACATCATAATTGAAGGGTTTAAAAGCTTTAGCCAAAACGGAGTTGAAGACCCAGCCTGACAGCGAGCCCTTGATCCTGGTGACCCTTCGACATCCCACAGACGTCCACTGGCAGATTGCAGCTGCGTCAAGGCGAATGCACTGGTGAGGGGCTGCTGTCCACTGGGCAGGGAGGACAGGCGGGGCTGGGACTCTGCACAGGATTTGCACGGGTAACAGGTGGGGAGTGAGGATTCCAGGAGCCTCGCTTACCCCCTCCTTGCTCTGCTTCCTTTCCGGGTTTCACATCTGTCGCCGACTGGTATTTGTTGTACTTAGATCGTTTCTCTGGGTGGCAGCTGGGAATTATTCCACCTTTCTTCCCTGGGCTGAGTAAATCATTTTCTCTTCTCCTCCAGCACTTTGTTTATTCATTAACTGTTTGCAGCGTTTCACACGTTGTTGACCACCAGACTGCGGCGCTCCTGGGTCACACCGTATTGTATTCTGTTTTGTCCAAACCCAGGCACACAGGCTGGATTCAGATGTCAGTTGACAAATGAGTGTGTCTGCCTTGTTCCCACCTCTTTCCTTGTCCTCTTTGTCCCTCGTCCTATTTCTCTGTCAGTTGAGATTTTGCAGGCATGGACCTGGAAGGCACGTGCTGAGAAATCCTTACCTATTCCCCCCTTCCTTTCCAGACGCCATGCTGGGCTCGCCCTGCTTTCTGTGGCTTCTCATCATGACCTTCCTGGTTCCCAGAGCTCAGTTCTTGGCCTCTCAAGACTCTGAAGAGGAGGGAGACGATCAGCCGTCTTTGCCACCCTCACGGGCTGTCTACTGCGACTATGACCGCTGCCGCCACCTGCAGGTGCCTTGCCAGGAGCTGCAGAAGGCCGAGCCGGTGCCCTGTCTGTGCCCTGGGCTCTCCAGCCCCGACCAGCAGCCCGAGCAGCCGCGCCTGGGAGAAGTGCACGTTGTGGCTGAGGAGGGCCGTGCCCTGGTCCACTGGTGTGCCCCATCCTCCCCGGTCCTCCAGTACTGGCTGCTGCTTTGGGAAGGCAGCGGGGATCCGTGGAGGGGACCCAGCCTCAACGCCACGGTCCGCAGAGCAGAACTGGAAGGACTGAAGCCCGGGGCCACTTACACTGTTTGTGTGGTGGCATCTAACAAGGCCGGGGAGAGCCTCATACCCCGGGAAGGCGGGGAGGAGTCTGAACAAGTGGCCGTCCCTGCCTTCGGGCCCTGCGGCCGGATCACCGTGCCACCTAGACCTGCTACCCTGGTCCACGTGGCCCTGGGGGTGGGCACGGCCCTGGCCCTGCTGAGCTGTTTCGCACTGGTCTGGCATTTCTGCTTGCGTGACCGTTGGGGCTGCCCGCGCCGGGCGGCCCGAGCCTCAGGGGCTCTGTGAGTGAGGGGTCAGCGGATGGCTCCACACAGCCCAGAGCTTCCTGGAACACCGACCGCACCCTGGAGGAGTCGTGGCTCCACGCCCGGGCGCCTGGGATACATCTGTCTCAGTTCTCTGGGCCGGGATCTTGTTTAGGTCCTGGCTTGTGACTCTGCAGCTGGCGCGAGTTAGGAAGGAGTAGAAGAGAATCTGCAGATTTTTTCTTAAAGGATCAGATAATGAGTGCTCTTCAGGGGCGAGTGTTTGGCCCTGAGTTATTAAGACTCAGGACACTGGCGTCCCATATCCCAAGCACCTGGTTCTGGCTATGCCCTGCTTACCATCCAGCTTCCTGCCACTGCACCTGGGAGGCAGCAGGTGATGGCACCAGTGCTGGGGAGACTGGGATGTAGTTCCAGGCTCCTGACTTTGGCCTGGCCCAGTCCTGGCTGTTGCCGGTGTTTGGTGAGCAAACTAATAGAAGGTTCTCTGTCCTCCTCTTTCTTTGTTGCTCTGGCTTTCAAGCAGATGAAAATAAGCATTTAAAATATTCATTTTAAAAATGTGAAAACTTTTTTTTTTTTTTTTTTTTTTGACAGGCAGAGTGGACAGTGAGAGAGAGAGACAGAGAGAAAGGTCTTCCTTTGCCTTGCCGTTGGTTCACCCTCCAATGGCCGCCGCGGCCGGCGCGCTGCGGCCGGCGCACCGCGCTGATCCGATGGCAGGAGCCAGGAGCCAGGTGTTTTTCCTGGTCTCCCATGGGGTGCAGGGCCCAAGCACCTGGGCCATCCTCCACTGCACGCCCTGGCCACAGCAGAGGGCTGGCCTGGAAGAGGGGCAACCGGGACAGAATCTGGCGCCCCGACCGGGACTAGAACCCGGTGTGCCGGCGCCGCTAGGCGGAGGATTAGCCTAGTGAGCCGCGGCGCCGGCCGTGAAAACTATTCTAAGCTCATGGACCTTACACATAAGACACAGTCCTGTAGCGAGAAGGACCCTGCCATCACCCTGCGACGGGCCCTGCCACTCTGTGTGGCTTCAGTGGAATTTTGAGAATAAGCTGCTGCGTCTCAAAAGAAGATGTATATGAGTTTGGGGCCAGCACCAGAAACAATCCCCTTCTTCCATTATCTTTTATTTGAGCACTGATCAGAGGCCATGGGTCTCTGAGAAGGGCAGAAAAAATGGCTCACGTGGGGTGGAGAAGAGAGGGGAAGCCCACGATACTCTCTAGCACAGGTCAGCTGTGTTCCTGTGCTTAAAACAAAAAGTGAGGGCCAGCGTTGTGCAGCAGTGAGCAAAGCCTCTGCCTGCAACACCTGCACCCCATACGGTTGCTGGTTCAAGTCCCAGCTGCTCTGCTTCCAAACCAGCTCCCTGCTAATGCACCTGGGAAAGTGGCCCCTGCCCAACCCACTTGGGAGATGCAGAAGAATCCCCTGGATCCTGGCTTCAGCCAGTGGACCAGCCTCAGCTGTTGCGGCCTTTTAGGGAGTGAACCAACAGATGGAAAAATCTCTGTCTTTTCCTCTCTCTCTGTTGCTCTGCCTTTCAAATACATAAATTTTTTTTTAAAAACTGTAACATTAAAGAATTTCTCTCCCCCATTTGTATGTAATGTATATCTACTAGTAACAACATTAAAAGAAATTTAGAAGGAAGATATTTTCAGCTTTCATGATTTCTTTCAGTTCCTTGTGTACACCCTTGCTTTTCAGAGAAGCATACATACTTATAAATTTTTTGTTAATGCAAGTGGATGTAGGGGGGCCAGCACTGTGGCGTAATGGGTAAAGCCACTCCCTGCAGTGTCGGCAATCCATATGGGCGCCGGTTCGAGTCCTGGCTGCTTCACTTCCAATCCAGCACTCTGCTATGGCCTAGGAAAGCAGTAGATGGCCCAAGTCCGTGGGCTCCTGCACCCATGTAGGAGACCCAGAAGAAGCTCCTGGCTCCTGGCTTCAGATTGGTGCAGCTCCGGCCGTTGCAGCCAATTGGGGAGTGGAACCAACCAGCGGATGGAAGACCTCTCTCTCTCTCTATAACTGACTTTCAAATAAATCTTTAAAAAAAAAAAAAAAAGTGGATGTAGGGACTGGGGATGTGGCACACCTGTGACACAAGCATCTCATACGAGTGCTGGTTCTTGTCCTGGCTGCTCCACTTCCAAACCAGCTCCCTGCTAATGCACCTGGGGAAGCAGTGGAAGGTGGCCTGACTGCTCGGGCCCCTGCTCCCACGTGGAAGACCTGGAAGGAGCTCCAGACTCCTGGCTTCAGCCTGGCCCAGCCTTGGCTGTTGCAGCCATTTTGGGAGTGAACCAGTGGATGGAAGATTTCTCTAACTCTGCCTCTCAAGTGAATAAAGTAAATCTGTAATAAATGAATTAAATGGACGTAGATTGTTGCTACACTATATAACCCTCACGCAGATTTCAAGCAATGCTGAAGAGCAGGAAGTGAAAGTTCCTCCTCCTCAAGAGGAGACTGCCCTGAGCAGGGCAGATCTTAGGGAAGACAAGCACCTGCTGCACTCGTGGTCCCCTTAGCCACAATGTTCCGTTTTGGTGACTCAGCCTCCTCAGCCAAGTTCAAGGCTGGGGAGCTTTCTGTGGGTGGATGCTCCTTAACTGTTTGCTGGGACATTTATCTCCAGGTTTCCCACAGACATCCCTGTTTGTGTGTCCTGACATCTTTGTGTATTTCTGTAGGAGACTTACAGGCAGTGGATCAAAGAAGCAGTACTATAAAAGTCATGTTTGCTATTGCCCGATGACAATGAAACTGAAAATTCCTATCTCCTAACGACATCATAGCTGTTATAATGTCCTAGTGCAACACCTTACTAATTCACATGCCTGTGTTGATGCTGGTGTAAGCTAACTTACTGTGTTGCCAGCCATATAAAGTAAAGCCCCTGTAGTTATGGATACTACAAAATACTAGATAATAAAATACTATGTTAGTGGTTTCTATACTTACTGTTCTTTTAGTCATTATTTTAGAATATACTCCTACTTGGAAAAAAAAGTTTACTATTAAACTCTTGTGGCCATGAGTATCTCAGTTATTTCTTCCAAGTTCTTGCCCACACAGAAATAAGAGTTCAAAGTAATACTGTGGGAGACCAGGATGGAGTCCCTGGCTTCCACCTGGTCCAGCCCTGGCTCTTGTGGACATGGGAAGCGAGCTAGCAGATGGAAGATCTCTATGTCATTCAAGTAAATAAATAATTAGTATTAATAATAAAAACAAGTTTGTGGAAAATGGACTTAAGAGACAAGCTTAGTTAGGATGTCTGCCTCCTGTTTAAGAGTGGATTTGGGCTGGCGCCGCGGCTCACTAAGCTAATCCTCCGCCTTGCGGCGCCAGCACACCGGGTTCTAGTCCCGGTTGGGGCGCCGGATTCTGTCCCGGTTGCCCCTCTTCCAGGCCAGCTCTCTGCTGTGGCCAGGGAGTGCAGTGGAGGATGGCCCAAGTGCTTGGGCCCTGCACCCCAAGGGAGACCAGGAGAAGCACCTGGCTCCTGCCTTCGGATCAGTGTGGTACGCCGGCCAGCTGGCCATGGCGGGCATTGGAAGGTGAACCAATGGCAAAGGAAGACCTTTCTCTCTGTCTCTCACTGTCCACTCTACCTGTTAAAAAAAAAAAAAAAAGAGTGGGTTTGATATCCCTTTCTGACTCCTGACTTCAGCTTCCTACTAATATAGACCCTGGAAGACAGCGCTGTTGGCCCAAGTAATTGGGCCCCTGCCAGCCACCTGGGCAATCTAGATTGGGTTTGCAGTTCCAAGTTTCAGCCTTGGCCCAATCCTGGCACCTGGGGAGTGAACAAGCACATGGGTGCTCTCTGTCTCTCCCTCCCTTTGCCTATCACATAAGTAAATAAATAACTTCTTATCTTAGCTATTTTAAAGATTTATTTATTTTATTTGAAAGAATTACAGAAGGGGAAAGACAGAGATCTTCTATCCGCTAATTCACTTCCCAGATGGCTGCAATGGCCAGGGCTGGGCCAGCCCAAATCTAGGAGCCAGGATCCAGGATCCAAAAGCCTTATCTGGGCGTCCCATGTGGGTGGCAGGGGCCCAAGCACTTGGGTTGTCTTCTGCCGCTTTTCTCAGGGCATTAGCAGGGAGCTGCATAGGAAGTGAGTCAGCCAGGACATGAACCAATGCCCATATGGGATGCTGGCATGGCAGGCAGTGGTTTAACTTGCTACACCCCAATGCAAGCCCCAAGTTACAAGTGTGCTTCTTGTATTGTAGTCCATATTGTAACAGACAATCTTTGGCTGTCCCACCTGCTGCTGCCTTGCAAGTATATGGCAACAGTCACCCTAAGAAGGGACTGCTACAATAGTTATAGCCTGCAAATTAAAGTTCACAATCAGACAGTAGACAACTCCCATCTGCACTGCTGGTCTGCTGCTTCCTTACAAGTGTGCTCAATAAGTCTGGATCTATGAGGTTATTTTTTTAAATAGGGCCTCAAGCATCACTTTTTCCTTCAATAAGTTTGTATTTAATATATTTTTTTTTTTGACAGGCAGAGTGGACAGTGAGAGAGAGACAGAGAGAAAGGTCTTCCTTTTGCCATTGGTTCACCCTCCAATGGCTGCTGTGGCCAGCACACTGTGCTGATCCGAAGCCAGGAGCCAGGTGCTTCTCCTGGTCTCCCATGGGGTGCAGGGCCCAAGTACTTGGGCCATCCTCCACTGCACTCCCTGGCCACAGCAGAGAGCTGGCCTGGAAGAGGGGCAACTGGGACAGAATCTGGCACGCCAACCGGGACTAGAACCTGGTGTGCCGGCACCGCAAAGCGGAGGATTAGCCTAGTGAGCCGTGGTGCTGGCTTGTATTTAATGTTTTAGCTCTTCTGCTGCTTTCCCAGGTGCATTAGCAGGGAACTGGATCAGAAACACAGAGGCCAGCAAGTCAGGTGCTCTGATCCGTGATAGCAACAGTGCTTAACTCTCTGCACACAAAGTCAGGCCCTCTGTGAATTCGCTGGCCCCATTAGAGTCACTTCCCATTGCATCTCTCTCTTTCTCCATCGCTCTGCCTTTCAAGTAAATAAAAAATCTTGCAAAAAAAAAAAAAAAAAAAGAAAAAAAAAGAAAAGAAAAAGAAAATTTCACTTTTTAAATATTTTTTAAAATTGTCATTTATTTTACTTATTTGAGAAACAGAGTCAGACAGAGGTCTCCCGTCTGCTGGTTCCCATCCAAATGCCCATAATTGCTATGGCTGGGCCAGCTGAAGTCAGGAGCTGGGAACTCCATCTGGGTCTCATGTATGACTGGCACATGTACCTGAGCCGTCACCTGCTGCCTACCAGCGTGTGCAGTAGCAGGAAACTGGAATGGAAGCAGAGCCAGGACTTGAACTTAGTTAGGCCAAGTGCCTGCTCCCTAAAAACCAAAGTGCTTCACCTCGCTGGATCTAACAGCCTTGGCAGTGACGGGGTACTAGGTTATCAGTGAGCACACAGCGGAGGGGTGAATAACGAATGAGGCAGACACTGAAGCTTCGAGGGGGGGGGGCACGCAGGCTTGGGTTAGGAAGCAGACTCTGGATCCTGGAAAATGACCGCGAGGAGGGCTAGGGCCTGTTTTGCAATATGCGCAGGTCACCCTGAGGTGGCTGGGGATGAAGCTGCGCGGGTTTAACTACCAGCACTGAAGTCACACCGTCTAGGGCAGGTGTGAGTGCTGTCTCCACTTTACCAGACAGCGGGGCAGAAGGCCGCGGGTGTTTCAGTTTTGCGCGACACGGAGAAGTCCGAAGCAGAAAAGCGATGACAGGATCAGACACACTGTGTTTTCGCAAAAGGCCCTTCGGCGGTAGGGCAGAGGATGGCTCCCTGCCCCGGGGGAAGACGAGCGGGCTGAAGAGCGCGCACACTTCTACGGCTCCTGATACACTCGGCCAAACTACTTTCCAACGGGATCGGCTAAGGGGCCGTGATCCTGGTAATCTGCGAGGAGGGTGAAGGGTGCGAAGCTGGGGGGCCCGCTTGCCTCCGCCCACCGCCGCGGGGCGCCAGGGCTCGACGCGTCGGCTCGGATCCGCGGACTCTGCGCCGCTGCCGGCCCCGCCCGCGCGAGGTCCAGGCAGCCGGACCCGGGAGCTTTGTGGCTCCTGGCGGCACCCGTCCACGTCCGTCCCACGTGACCCAAACAGTTTCGTGCACTTCCGTTTCCCTCTCGGCTTTCTTATCGTCGGTGTCCCGGCGGGTCCGGAGCCGGTGGGTGAGGGAGCGCCCGGCCGGGGGCGTCAGAGGCGGGGTCGCCCTGCGCTGACCGTTCCCGGCCTCCCTGTCGGCACACCAGGTCCCCGCGGAAGCGGCGGCGGCGCCATGGCGGAGCTGACGGCTCTGGAGAGCCTCATCGAGATGGGCTTCCCCAGGGGACGCGCGTAAGGGAGCCTCCTCGCCCCGATCCGCGCGGACCGGTCCCGGCCTTTCCCCGAGCCTGGCCGTCACTATGGCTCGTAGGCGCTACTCACGCTGTTTCTCCCTCCAGGGAGAAGGCTCTGGCCCTCACAGGGAACCAGGGTATCGAAGCGGCGATGGACTGGTGAGCGCTCAGGCCAGGGGCCCGAGGGTTGGGGGCTGTCGGGAGCGGCAGCCTGGACGCTGAGCTCCCTGCCGACTCCCCCGGCC